TAGTACTCTTGTATAGTGTCTGTGAGTCTTGTGTTTTTTATCGGCATGTTTGAGTGAAGGTAGTATGCCAGACACTCTTATTCTGCTCATGTGCATACACACACCCACAAGCACACACACTAATCTAATGGGCAGAAACTTCTGAGGGTAGATTGCAGTTGTGGTCTGTTTAGCAGCTGAGGAAGCGGAGGCGCAGAGACCGCTTGTGTGCGGTTGCCGTCAGGAGCCGGGGTCTGAACATGGACAGCTCGTCTCACAGCTCATGCTCTCCGCTGCTGGGCTGCTCGTTTTCTGTGAGCGAAGCGAGCTTGGTTATGTTTAGACTCGGGGTGAATAAAGAATGAATGACCGGAGGAAAGAGTGTTAGTCATGATTTCTGTTTACACGGTAAACACTGTTCAGTGGTTGCTACTCACATGAAGCTTTTACTTAGGTAATTATAATTATAGCTATTAGGTCAATACTAATTTCCCCATTTACACATGAAAAAATCGAGATTAGGAGATGTGTTGTAATATATTCAAGTATGGATCATGCCATGGATAGTTACGTGATGAAGATTGACATTTAGTCAGTCAGGGTCTGTATTCTTAATCTTTATGGCATACTGTCTCCCAGTGTAGTTTGTTTAAATGTGGTTCACTGAGGAGTGTGGAAAAAGGTAAATTAATTCCAAGGAAATACTATATGACCACTTGCTTTTCCCCTGAAATGAAATTCCATTCTTTTTGTTTTCTGTGCAGTAAGGAAGAGCTGTTTATATACAGATATATCTTTAGTTACTGGATTAAATTCTTACATAGTAAAATTTGTGATCACTGGGAACGGGCATGGTGGTCTATTTTATTAGTTTTTTCACTTATATTGTTAGAACGGATAACTGGATTTTAAAATAATTACAGTATGAAAGATGATACATAATATTTAAAAAGAATTTGGAATCACTTTAGTATTCTGTACTACCTCAGGCATGTTCTTGAAACTTGGTTTTCATTTTATCATTGATACAAGGAATTCCTAATATGTAGCTATTTCCATTGGTACAAATTCTTAGTTATGTGTCTTTCAGTTATTCCTGTATATAATATTTTTGGGGAAGTGGATTAATTGGAAGATTAATTTATGAGAAATAGTATTTTAAGCTAGTGGCAGTCTCCTCTGAGGAAAAGTCAGATATGTTAGTATTTATGATATTGAAATGGAATTTATACAATAGCTCTGTGTCAGTCTGGTTAAAGATTATGAGGTTCTAAATTTCTTAGAGTTAATTCTGTTTTATCTAATTATGTTTGAGAATTAAGATAATTCTTACTGCATTCTTATTTCCTTTTGGAAAATATAGGAATTTTTGTATTGATTTTTATACTTTGGCTTGGTAAGGAGTGAGTTGATATTTGAAAAACAGTTGCAATTTGAGGTAAAGTGCAAAAGTCATCCAATGACGAGTTACTTTTATTCTTGGCTACCGTTTCTTTTTAAGGTATATAAAATTTCACTGATGGTTTTGCTCCTGTTTTTATAGTTGCATGTAGTCTTTATTTTTCCTTCTAGTATTATTTTTAAGTTACTTAGAAAGAGCACCAAGAAACTGACATGGTTGTACACCTCACAGTAGTATTTAAATATATATGAATAATATAAACTCTGTAAATTTATTGTATACTAAAACTTGCTACTTAGAATACCTTTAAAATTGTAGCACCATATGGTTTTCATCTTGTTATTCATAGTCTGCAGTGCATAAGTTCTCTACTGAAACGTCTGTCATAGTTTGACAGTCATTGCTTACAAGTAATTTTCTCTCTTTTTATTACAATGCTTCCCCAGCAAGGACAAGTTTGGAAGGTTTGCAAAGCTTTTCACCTTCCCTCTGCCCGCTTGCCCGCTTTCAGATCAGTTTTCATGTTTCATAATTTCTCTTTCTGCAATCCACAACATAGCTATCGTAAACAGTGAAAAAACATTAAATTACAGTATTGTATTTCCTCATACATAATAGATAATTTTTCAAAGGACATACCCTCTTTAAAATACAATGAAAAGAAGTTAAGTAGAAATGTTACCATTTTAGTAATTCACTAGGAAGCAGTTAATCATGTCACAGAATGAACAGTATTGAAGATTATTCTGTATTGCTAATAGTAGATAAAAAGTTCTTTCTAATAATAATACCTTACATTTGTACAATGCTTTACAGTTTAATACAGAGATTGCTGTACTGCTGATGTGGTCAAAATGTAAACATTTCCATTTGGTCTGTGCTTATGAGATATAGAGTAGATGTAGATTTCATTGTTTGAAGTGCTGCTGGTATGATGGAAAACAATGTTGTAACTCAGATTTTCGGCAACACAAGTTAGTACTCCAAGGCCAGTTTTAGCACCTTCCAGTTCTTTTGAACTAGGGCCCTTGTATTTAAAATGTATAGATTGAATGAGGAGAACATTTTGGAAAAGACATTTAAACATAAGCTTTTATTATATAACACATAGAAACATTTCCAGTACTCTTACTGAATATTTCATTTTGTAATACTTTATTAGCTTCAGATGAATACAATCCTACCTCAAACCAAGAATTTTTTTTCTTTTTCTTTTCTTTTTTTTTTTTTAGGTTTGAGCTTTTTCCTTCACTGCTGTTCTGCGCTAACTGCTTTGAAACTTTCCATGCATTTTTTTTCAGTAGAAGAACATCTCTGAACTGTCTCCCATTGCATATTTCAGCTGTGACAATCCCTGCACTTTGCCTATTCATTTATCACCTGCTCACCAAAAACAAGTCTCTCTCTAATTTGTGATTACAGATTTGCTATTATTTCTTGGTTTTAGAAAAGGATGCATTTCACTTTTTTTAATTACTGTTGTTTTATAGGCTTGTGGAGACCCCAAGGCAAAAACCATCCTACCTTATTGACAAAAACCTGGAATCTGCTGTGAAATTCATAGTCAGAAAATTCCCTGCTGTAGAAACTTGCAACAACAATGTAAGTGATTTAAATTTTTATATTACTTGATTTTAGCCATATGTAGTAATGGTCAGTACTTGAAGTAGCTCTTATTTATCTAAATCTTTATATTTTGAATATATAAACTATATACATTAAAGGTTTTTAGAGACAATATTCTTATCTCAGAAATTGGTGAAAAAAATGATTGAGCTACATTGCCATTTTACTATAGAAAAATAGGATCTTAATTTCCTACGTATACTTATTCCTTTTCAAGTTGCAGCAAGGAGTAAGGTAATAGATATGTATATATTTTCAAATATTAGTACTTGCATGACTAGTTAGGGAGTTTTTTGTTATAGTCATAGGTTTAACTTTGTCTTTTTTTTTTCTTTCCATTTATTTTTATTAGTTGGAAGCTAATTACTTTACATCATTGCAGTGGTTTTTGTCATACATTGAAATGAATTAGCCATGGATTTACATGTATTCCCCATCCCGGTCCCCCTTCCCACCTCCCCCTAACTTTGTCTTGAAGTTAGAAAATGTCTTCATAGAGCTTGTATTGTTTTTAATAATTAGCTGTGTTTAGCTTTAAAATGTGTGTTTCTTTTTATAATTGAGAAGTGCTATGAAAAACTAGTTTTAGGAAATTAGGGTTATTTTTCATCTTACTGTGGTCTTTTCATTTAAATTTTGTTGACTTGGACACTTTCTGCATGTTTTCTCTTTCTTCTTTTTTCTCTGGTGGCCTTAGAATTCTTTTCTCTTTCTTAATGTGCAAATTTAGTCTAGAAAGTTCCTCTTACATATAATCTCCCTACTTTTAAGAAGCTCTGCTTAAAAGATATTTTGTCATCTTTTGGTTTCCTCAAATCATGTGGATGTTCATTGAAGATTTGTATTTATCCTGTTATTCAGCTTTCACTTAAAAATATTTTAATGCGAAGGAAAAATACCAGTTAGAACTAACAAAATAAGTCTGAAGTGCTTTATAAATAATTTTTTAAAGTTTTTTTTATTTTAAAAGTTTTCTGTTTTTTGTGACTATAGATAGGTTAATAGAAATCTTTCTTTTGTTTCAGAGAAGATTTTGTTTTATCATTAGTATATTAAGATATCACAGTTAGTTCCTGATTACATATGGGTAATTGAAAATGTCTTCAGAACCCTATTATTGTGTGGAAAACTCTTTCTTCAATTGTTGATATTAGTTTGCTAACTCATCTGAGAGATTATATATTCACTCTAAAAGAGATTTTATAATGAAATCTGTTTTACATTTAATTTTATGCTTCTCTTCCTCATGGCTCATAAAATCTGTGATATGAGCTCTTGAGAGAATCTTTTCAGTTTAATTTACATGTGTGTGTAAATTTCTGTATGAGAATAAGCATAGTTCCTTGATATGAGACCTTTTATTAGAAAATGAGCAAGATCTGATTAAACATATTTTCACTATTCCATATCAATAAAATTTTTTGTTGAATAAATTGATAATCTTTGTTCTTGATTTGCTGGGCATGCTGTTTACAGTAATGCTAGGTTTTTGTTATTGTTTTGTTTTTTAGTAGTTTATTTTTCATCTTTGTAACACAAAATTGAGTTTTATTTTTATTTATTTATTTATATTTTTATTATTTAAGACCTTTATTAACAGGTGCTTGCAGTTTGTTGACTTTTTTTTTTTTGAAAAAAATCAAGCTGTAAACTTTTATTACAAATTAAAAATGAGGTTCTTAAAAATCTCAACTTGACCAGATATGAAACAATTTAAAAACCTTTAAAGGTGTATTGAGAAAAAACAGGCTTTTTTTTAAAAAACACGTTTGTCATTACCAAAAAGAGACGTCTTTAGGTAAAAATAATAAAAACCCCATGCTGCATAGATAATGCAGATAGTTCTAGTTATCTGGTCAACAGGCAAAAAGCAAGCACTTAAGGTCTTCAGCTCCGATCTTTTGTTCATTTCTTATTGCTGGAATTTCATATTCATTTCTTCTTGTTGGATGACTAAACCGGATGATGGTAGAGATGGTAAGCCGGCGTTTACTCAGCCCCGCCCTGCTCAGCCTCGGGAGCGGACGAATTCTCAGCTGGTGGATCGGCTGCTTTTGTCTCTTTGCCATCTTGTGGTTTAGGGTTTTCTGGGCGTCTGCGTCGGTAATTGAAGTTGCGGCGGTGCCGACGTTGAGGCGGTTGCTGACCTTGGGTCTCACCTCCTTGATTCTCCTTATCTTCTTCATCGCCGTCCTCTCTGGGCTGTCTTTGGCGAGGAGGGCCCCTGCGGAATCTTGGTCTATAACCCCGATACATATTCTGTCTCACTGGTCTACCTTGTTCTCCTGCACCCTGGTTGTCAGCACCCTCCATCACTTCTCCCTGCACAGGAGGGTTGGAGTACTGTGGTCGACGCCCATAGGGTCTCCGCATGTAGTAAGGTGGGAACCTCCGCCTGCGGCAGGGCCGGCGCTGTTGGGCCTGGCCGTCGGGAGCGCTCTCCGATCCCTCATTCTTTTCCCCACTCTCACTATTCTGGTAATTCTGCTGGTAATTGCGTGGAGGACCCCTGCGACGTGGATAGCGCCTATAATGGTTACGGTCTGCTGCGTATTTACTGCCTTGCACTGGAACTCCACCAGGGCCTGTAACATTTGCTGCCTCCACACCCTTTTCTCCTTCAACAACATCAAACTCCACAGTCTCTCCATCTCCTACACTGCGAAGGTACTTCCTGGGGTTATTCTTCTTTATGGCAGTCTGGTGTACAAATACATCTTCCTTGGTGTCATTCCTGTTGATGAAACCATATCCGTTCCTTACATTGAACCATTTTACTGTTCCCAAAACCTTCGTTGCGATGACCTTGTCCCCGCCGGCAGGCGCCGCCAATGTGACGCCGCCCGGGCCACCGCTCCCTGCGCCGCTGCCCGTCGTGCCGGGCTTGGTGTCGGCAGCGCTGAGGGCGGGGGCGGCGGGGGGGGGCGGGCAGCGGGCGGCTGCTGGGTCTCGGCCTCGCTGCTCATAGTTGCGGTGATGGTGACTGGGGCCGGCTGCGGCGGCTGCGGCTCCTCCCGGGGTGTGATGGTAACTAGGCCGGCGGCGGCGGTGGGGCTGCTCAGGGCTCTCTGGGGTCCGCTCTCCGCTCCCGTTACCAATCGAACTACAAAATTGATTTTTAAAATAACTATTCAAATAGGATTGACATAGCATACAGTTCACCTGTTTAAAGTGTACAGTTCAGTGGTTTTTAGTTCATCCACAGGGTTGTATCATTGTAGGCTTAACCTATGGTTTAACTCAAGCTTTGTTTTACCATTGTGTTTTTTGCCAATTTTACATGTAGCATTCTAATATTTTAAAATACTTAAGACCAAACCCCAAAGATCGACCAATAAATGTGTGTATACACTGATGCGTCATCTACTATCTAAGTATGTCCAAGCTTCCCTCGTAGCTCAGACAGTAAAGCGTCTGCCTGCAATGCGGGTGACCCAGGTTCAATCCCTGGGTTGGGAAGGTCCCCTGGAGAAGGAAACAGCAACCCACTCCAGTATTCTTGCCTTGAGAATTCCATGGACAGAGGAGCCTGGTAGGTTGCAGTCCATGGGGTCACAAAGAGTTGGACACGACTGAGCAACTTCACAAGCACAATACATCTCTAAAGCAAAAACAAAAAACTCACCAGTCCTTTGCAGCGCAAAAAGAACCAAGAAGAATTAAAACCAATCATAAACAGAAATTATTCATTACATTAGAGTTTTTCCACAGAAAGAATCTGAAGTTCTTTGAGTGATTTTGTAAGGAAATTTAATTTGCAGAGCAGAAGCAAACGTGTAAAGTGCATTATCAAGGTCTCGCAGGCTGCAAGATGAACTTAATTGGATGTGAATGGTCAAGATCAAGGCGGTAATTAATTTTTCATTGTTTTCTTTTTGAACTTTTTGGATCAGTTCTATTTTTGGCATGTCTTCTGCTGACTACTGGAGACATCTTCTGTTTCATTTAGACCTCTCTTGGTTACTCCTTTGCAATACCAAGTTGCAATCTCTGGCTAAGTCCTAACTCCTTATTCACTTACTATCGATACTGGGATACTGTTGCTGCCTCTTTCCCTGTTCACTTTCTTAATCATTTTTAGTTGTGTAATTTTCATACCTTACGGTCTTTGTAGGAGAACACAACTTGAAGTATTGATTTAGTATCTTACTGTCTATCCTTTTTATGACCACAGTTAAACTACAGTGAAATCTTCTACTGTCCTTTTCAAAGTTCTTCACCCAAAGTTGGTTCTTCTGTCTACAGTGTGGTCCAACTATATGCAATCTTTAGAACAGTTTAAAGAAGTAAAATTTCCTTGCAAAACTCCATTTGTTTCTTGTTTACATATGCCTAATCTTTCCCCACAGCCTGACCCATTTTTCACTTTCTGCACTCAGTTTTGTTCAAAGGTAGCAGTTTTCACAAAAGGAAGGGATGGGGAACAGGCAAAAAAAACACTATAGGTCTACTGCTTTATTTCTAGGCTTCTCAGAGAAATTTGGTCAGACATTTCTAGTCATACATAGCTACCTGGTTTGTATGTGAGGAAAAATGTTGCATTTGTCTTTAAAAATTAAGGGAACATTAATTTTGACAGTAGATATCCTAATCAAAGAGCTTTACACTAAGAACCTTGGAAGAAGATCTTTGTCAGTTTGTCTCTCTTTTTGCTCTAAATAGGGAAGCAACAGAAGGCTGGGTGATTAAAAAAAAAGGCAAAGTGAAATATACACTTCATGATTAGGAAAAAGTATCACAGAAAAAAAATCACCATTCTAGCTTCTGGAGGATGCAAAAGCTAAAGAGAAACACCTTTGTAATGTAATTAGCCTCCAACTAATAAAAAAAAAGAAAAAGAAAAACACCTAAAACACCGATATATTAGTGTGGGAAAAATATGGCTGAGTCTAGCAGTTAATTGAAGAACATTTAATGAAGGGACTGTTTAGGAAGGTTTGGGCAGAGGTAAGGAACTCTCCAGAAACTACAGAATCTATTCATCAGATGCATGACCAATTTATGCTATCCAATTTGTTGCTTATAGCACAGTGGTTAAGAATATGCATGAACTTTGGAGTCAGACTGACAGAATCTCATACCAGCTCTATCACTTTCTATGGGTATGACCTTCTGTAATTAAAAAAAGAAACTATCTGCATTTTAGTTTCCTCACCTGTAAAATGAGGATGATAATATTTCTAAGGAATATTATCCTCTGAGAATAGTTAAAGAATACCTGGAGAATCCCCATGGACAGAAGAGTCTGGAGGGCTACAGTCCATGGGGTCGCAAAGAGTCAGACACGACTGAGCAACTAAGCACCTTAAATTGAGAGAGGCAGATGAGAAAATGTAACTCAAAGTACCTGACACATAGTGTGAAAAACACATAAATAATAAATTGGATTCCTTATTTTATTCTTAGTAAGGATACTATAATGTTGACCACAAAAAATATTATTTAGGATCAGGTTTGGTTGAGAATAATTAAAAAAAAATCACAGCTGAAAGAAGCTTAAATAAAACTTTGTTTCACACAAAATCCAGATAAAGAATAGGAAGGTTTGGTATGATAGTTCTGCTCTAAGAAGCCCACTTGCATCTTCCATTTCTATGTTTTGTCATCCTCAGTGAGTGGCCATTGTCTTCATGAATTGAGATAGTGGTCTCTGGGTCCTTGTTTCATGTGGGAGAATGAAATAAGAGGGGAAGACTGTCAAAAAGAGAACACAGCAGTCTCTTAAGGTTCTTGAAAGCTTATGTCCTAGTGGCAAGAACTAGCCTACAAGGGAGACTGAGAGATGTAGACTTTATTCTAAGGAAGGAGGAGACATTGAAGGCTAATTAATAAAGTCAACAACTATTTCAAATTGTCTTTATTATCCTCAAGGCCTCAAAAGCTACCTTTATTTTTCCCTTTTTTTTCCTCCTGCTTTAGCAATCATAGGCATACCTATTTTCTGTTCTATCTTCAACTTTCTTTGTTCTTTTATGTATGTGATGAGCATTCCTATTATTTTCCTGCACTTAAAAAAATTATTTTGCACTTATTAAAGTTGAACAAACATAAGTTTTAGAATAATCCTTAGGAACTTTGGGCTTCACTGGTGGGTCAGACAGTGAAGAATCCGCCTGCAGTGCAGGAAACCTGGGATGGATCTCTCCACTATCTCTCCACTATCGATCTCTATTCCTGCCTAGAGAATTCCAGGGATAGAGGAGCCTGGTGGGCTATAGTCCATCGCAAAGAGCTGGACATTACTGAGCAACTAAGTCATGTGAGCAACACATACACACATGCTTAGGAACTTCAATTTGGGACTCTTTTCTCTAGACTTCTCTCATAGCCCTGTATCTCAGGCTGCTTTATATTAGACTTCCTTGTGTATGTACAGTTCTATGCTCACCCAGTATGTGAGCTGAAAAAAAAGTGAAAGTTAGTTGCACAGTTGTGTCTGACTCCTTGTGATTCCACGGGCTGCAGCCTGTCCCGCTCCTTTGTCCATGGAATTCTCCAGGCAAGAATACTGGAGTGAGTTACCATTTCCTTCTCCAGGAGATCTTCCTGACTGGGGGATCGAACTGGGTCTGCTGCACTGCAGGCAGATTCTTTACCAGCTGAACCACTAGGGAAGCCCAAGTGAAAGTAAAAGTTACTCAGTCATGTCTGACTCTTTGCGACCCCATGGACTGTAGTCCACGGAACTCTCCAGGCCAGAATACTGGAGTGGGTAGCCATTCCCTTCTCCAGGGACCAAACCGAGGTCTCCCACATTGCAGGCAGATTCTTTACCAGCCGAGCTACCAGGGAAGCCCAGAATGTGAGCTAGGGAGATTAAAATCTACACCTTATACAGCTTCATATCTCCTCTTAGAATAACAGTATTGTGCACATTTTAAGTATTTATTGTACAAACATTTACATTTAAATCCATACAGAATTGTCACTATGAATGATTGAATATTTCACAACACATATATAAACAGTTATATGTCATACCCGTGATTTGTTTCTGAAATTTTATAAGTAGGATTTTATAACTGAATCATTGTAAAATATATTTGTGGGCCACAAAATATAATTCTATTATGAATTCTTCTATAAAGCCAAATTTATTCCTCTTCCAATTTATATATTTTCCAGTTTGGGTTTTCAAATGTTTACTTTCCTTACAGTGGGTACTTTTATACTTCTCTCAACAAAAAATAAGTTTTCAAAACACAGTTCTGTAACTTCTAGTCAGATTTATTGAGATATACTTTACATACAGAAAAATTCACACTTTTTAAGGCCTATTGGTCTATGCTAGCTAAATTTCTATGATTACTGCAAATAAAAAGCTATCATCTACTTTCTAAATCTCTCTGAAGCCTTATGTTCTAGGGACAAACAGCAGAAATCTCTTAACTGAAGTGAAACAATTTGAAGAGCTTACCAAAGGAACTGTGAAGACTATGCTTTATTTGATGAGAGAAATAAAATCTCCAATCAAGCTTTTTAAAACTTACTTAATCTTTTCTAAGTTTCCTAATCATTTTTAAAATTTTTTGCTTTTCCAGAAAACAGTAGGAAGAAGAAATCTACAAGATGGGCAATTCTTATAATAACTTTATAGGCTGATTCACACGGTATGACCTATTTTTCAAAGACTGAAATACTGAAAGGAAATAGAAAAGGACATACACTGATTATACTTGCCATGAAATCATATATGCATAGGAAAATACATGATTATTACCTTAGCACTTACAATAAACTTTATATTATGCGTGACCTCAGTCACTTCTGTGGTGTCTGACTCTTTGCGACCCTATGGACTGTAG